GTAGTAATAAAACAGGGCCGGTGGCCTCAAGCCAGGGCCGGTGAGGTGTGGGGATGGCCAACAAGCCATTCTTTGCCCTCAGAAGCAAAAACACAAGTGTTTGGTCCATGACCAAGCACAAAACAGCCAATTTGAGAGATCTTGAGGCAAGACGCGTAGCCGAGACCTCTGAGAACTCAAAACGAACACGAACATGGATGATCACCGAGTGTTCAAACGGTGATGTCCAAGTCTTGAGGACGGTCAAAAATGGGGTGTCTACAACCGCCCACGGCCCAGGACAGGCTTGGCCCAGCCCGTTGACAATGTGAATATTCACATTGACATGCTAACATTCACATTGATAGGAGTGTAAAATGAGCCCACGCCTCGTGGCTGCCCGAAACCCGCCCACGGCCAGTGGGCGACCCGAGGCGAGCCCGACTCGGCCTATTGACAATGTGAATATTCACATTGATAAGAGTATAAAATTGGCCAGCGGCCTAGGGCGGGCCCAGCCTGGCCCAGCCCGTTGACAATGTGAATATTTACATTAACATGTTAGCATTCACATTGATAGAACCGTAAAATTAGCCCGTGCCTTGTGGCTACTCGAAACCCACCCATGGCCCGGGGCGGGCCTGGCCATTTTTTTTAAATTCTTTTTAATTTTTTCTACCAAAATTTTATTATTTTCCATAAAAAAAAGACACTAGGTCTCGGCGCGGGCCGGGCCTCAGACCGAGTCTTGAATGGGCCTTAACCAGGCCGATGGGCGGGGCCGGGCTTCAAAGTGATGGCCCAGGCCCCAGCCTAGGGTCTCGGACTAGGCTTGAGCCTGGGCCCAAACGAGCCTTTCTCGGGCCGGGTCGGGCTGACCCACGAGCTAAAAAATTAGGCCCATGCCCTAGCCCTGGCACAAGGGTATTCGGGCTTTGGACGGACCGATAGATCGAGCCTCGGGTCGGGCCGGTGGGCCTGGGCCTAGCCTCGAGCTTAGGTTGGGCTTTGGCATTTTTTTTAATTTTTTCTACCAAAATTTTATTATTTTCCACAAAACAATATATTGCGCCACGGGCGGGCTGGGCTGGGCCTCGAACCGAGCCTTGAATGGGCCTTAAGCGGGCCGATGGGCCGGGCCAGGCTTCAAAGTGATGACCTAGGCCCTAACCTAGGGTCTCGGACATGCTCGGGCTCGGACCGAAACGAGCCTGCCCCCGGCTGTGGGCGGGCTTCGGGCAGCCCACGGGCCGCGGGCCAATTCTACATTCGTATCAATGCGCATTTTAACATGTCAATGTGAATATTCACATTGTCAACGGGCCGGGCCGAGCCTACCCCGGGTCGCGGGCAAGCTTCGGGCAACGGGCAAATTTTACACTCCTATCAATGTTAATGTTAACATGTCAATGTGAATATTCACATTGTCATGGGTCGGGCCAAGCCCGCCTCGGGCTGCGGTCGGACTTCGGGCCGCCTATGGGCTGCAGGCCAATTTTACACTCTTATCAATGTGAATGTTAACATGTCAATGTGAATATTCACATTGTCAATGGGCTGGGTCGGGCCCGCCCTCGGCCGTTGGCCAATTTTATACTCTTATCAATGTGAATGTTGACATGTCAATGTGAATATTCACATTGCCAATAGGCCGGCCGCCCATGGGCCGTGGGCGGGTTTTAGGCAGCCACGAGGCGCGGGCTAATTTTACACTCCTATCAATGTGAATGTTAACATGTCAATGTGAATATTCACATTGTCAACGGGCCGGGCCGGGCCCGTCCGGAGCGGCAGTTGAGCTTTTGGCCGCCCATGGGCCGCGGGCCAATTTTATACTCTTATCAATGTGAATGTTAACATGTCAATGTGAATATTCACATTGTCAACGGGTCGAACTGGGCCCGCCGCGGGCTGCGCCATGGGCCGCGTGCGGGTTTCGCGCCACCACGGGACGCGGGCCAATTTTACACTCCTATTAATGTGAATGTTAACATGTCAATGTGAATATTCACATTGTCAACGGGCCGGGTCCGCCCCTCCTCGCGGGCGGGTTTCGGGCTGCTCACGAACCAATTTTATATTCCTACCAATGTGAATTTTAAAATATGAATGTTCACATCATAAAATTATTAACTGTTCAAAAAATATTTATAAGGGTATCAAAATTAAATATAAGGGCATAAGTGTCCAAGAAAATAGTGTAAATCAAGAAAAAAGACTTTATGGAATAAAACTATACATACATGGGACTAAATGGGTTAAAAAATTCCTTCATGGACTTCTTAGGTTAAAACACTTCTAAATAAGATTTATCAATAAAAATTTCTAAAAAGTAATTATAAATTAGTGATAAAATTTATAAGTAATAATTAATTTTTAAAATTTTTTCATTAATTTATAATAATTTTTTGAAAATACATCAAGCCCTCAAAAAAAAAACAAAAAATAAAAAACAAAAAAAAGCCAGCTTACGGTAAATATGACACGAGTGTTGTGGTGGAACTTGGAAGAGAGTACTAGAATGAAAGGATGGGACAAAGACAAAACTTTCGTACTACTCTTACGAACAACGATTCTTTCCTGTAATCTTCTCCTTCACTTCTTATTTAATGGGTTATTAGATTTATTTTTAGGTTTAATTTTGATGATTCAAACTGTTTATATTTTAAAATTTGTCATATATATTATATATGTAAAAAATCAAGTCGATCAAATATCAAAAATCACGTGAACTAAAAGTTTTATTAAACAATAAAATTGTTTATTAAATTTTTTTTAATAAACGGTTTTTAGTTCTTCTGATATTTGATCAATTTAATTTTTTACAGATATAATGTACCTGACAAATTTAAAATGTAAATAGTTTAAATCATCAAAATTGAATCCAATAGTAGATCCAATAACCCATCAAATAAGGAGTCAATGAGAGGCTCCATGGAAGAATCCTTGCTCCTACTCTTACTACTTACTTAGGATCATCACAAAAAGAAATTGGGTAAAACACAAACACATCTTTTGAACTTTGATTAAAATATAAATTATTTTTTGTGATTTTAAAAATTACTTCACTCTTTAAAATTTTTTAATTTTATAATAAATTATCAAATCAATTAATAATTTTTAATAATATAATAAATTTATTTCAATTAATAATTTTATTATTATATAGAAAAGCAGTTAAGAATTTTATTTTTTTTTGTCCATCTAAAAAATAGAATTTCATATTTTTAGTAAACTTTGTTAAATATAAAATTATGACAAAGGAGTATTTGTAATTTTCCAAACTTACAGTAGAACAATTCGTATTTTAATCAAACGTTAAGGGCGTATATGTAATTTACCCAAAGAAATTCAAATAAAAAACTAAAAATGAGAAAAGAAATGCTAAATTATCAAAGTTTTCATTAAAAAATATAATTTATTAAATAAAAATTCATTCGGTGTTTGTTTCTATTTTTAAAATATTATAAATAATTTACAAAATTTACTAAATTCTTATAAAAAATGATATACAAATCCATTTTTTAGACTCATTTTGTAAACCCAATGATGTGTGAGTGATATGATTAATTGATAATTATAGAAGATATGAGAGAGAGTGTTACTTTTACACTATGTTTAGTTAGGAAATTTAGAAAGGAAAAAATAAAAAATAAGTGAAATGTGAATTAAATATACCTACATTTCACTTAACTTCATACATTTTTCCTTTCTATTTTCATATCTCTTTCCAAAGACCCAATCAAACATATCATGATTAATTGTCACATCACTCGCCTTAAAAATTAGTCTAATCTTTGGTCTTGAGCCTCCGTTTGGGAAGTGTGTTGGCTTTTTGACTTTTTTGGCTATTTTAACCTGGGCTAAAAAGCTTGATTTGGGAAAAACTTTTTGACTTTTTGACTTTTTTTGTGAGAGAAGAGTGTAATGATTATGGGTTGGATATGATATTTTGTTTTTTGTGACTAAAATAACTTATTTTATCTTTTGTAACTAAAATAGCCAAAAAAATCATTCCCAAACGGCCCCTGAATAATCATCCTCTTATAACTAAAAAACCCCATTAATTGCTTCTCACCCCTTCTTGCTTCCTTCTCTCTCACCCCTTTTTGCATCTAGCTACCGCCACCACTACCAACCACCTCTCCTCACCATTAGCATCCACCTTCAACCACCACCAGCCAACAATCACTCCAGCCAATTCTAAAATACTTGTTACAGACTAAGGACCAATTATCCAAAGTTGAGCAAGGACCTCAAGGCCTATTTCTTGGAATTCCCCTTAGACTTCAAAACACTTTGGGCTATGTCATATTTAGCACCTCACTATATTCAAAGTAAAAAGCTTCCACATTCTCTCTGGATTAGAACACAATGATGTTCAAGGCCCAACTTACAGAAAGGAAAACCACCAGACCATTGGAAACCAATTTATTACAAACCAGAAAATAAAACCCATTGTTTCAGTAGAGTAAATTTGCATACTTTGAATTAAACAAATGACAATAACAATAGTTTCACGAGACCCATATATATATATATATATTATTTTAATTCTTCGTACTAGGTATACTCGTACTCATCAAAAGACCTATTAGTAATGCTAAATATCCAAAAATTTACTTAAAAAAAACAATGTGCAATCGAAATACATTTCGAGTGAGTCTAGCGATACTAAAATTAAATCTAAATCACGCATCGCATTTCAGGATAAATTTGTAGACAAATTTTCTAGTTTAACCATTAGTATATTATTAAACAAAAAAACCTGCTTCAATTATACATCAGCATCATCATCACCAACTCTCAGCCACAAACTTTAGGCAAAACCCAAAAGCAAGCAATTACCAAATTAGTACTACCACCTTAGGAAAGACTGTTAGATAATTGTTAGGCAATGAAAAACAGGGTAGAAAATAGAAATGGAGATGAAACACCTCCACCTCAACAGAACAGAGACCCAAGTTACACACTCAAAACTATATTTCCTAAAGCAAGTAGTCTAAAACTCAGTTCTTGTGGATTGATTGATAGCCTTGCATGTAGAAAATTGCTGATATTGATGTGAAGCTGGTTGAGTTTACTTTATAGCTCTTTGAAACAAGAAAGAAAGAAAGAAAAAGAGAAGAATTATCAGGGGGCAAGTCACATGAACATCATACTCCATTTTCCCCTATTCCCTCCTCCAACATCATCTCCTTGTGCCGGCATTCGCTGCTGCAAAAGGCCTTCTCCCCTCTACAAAAAAAACAGAAAATTTGTTCATATTAAGAACTGGGATAAAATACATTTATGGAAGAAAAAAAAAAAAGAGAGAAAAAAAAAATTTAATACACATTAATATGTGTTTTGGAGGAAAAAGATTGGGTACACACCTAACATTTGGCAAAGTGCGCAAAGTGGTTGCCGTGTGATTTGAACCCATAACCTCAAGATCATTAAACCAAGGTTCTACCATTGAACCAATGGATACCCCTAAAATACATTTATGATCTCTCAAATATATGTTCTTTCTTTGTCACTAAAGTCCTTAAATACTGGTGGAGAAAATAGAAAAACACAAACAATGAAGATGAAGTATATCCTGATGATGAGAAGATGAAACATCTCTTACTGTGTTTGTGTCTATGCTTAGGATGAAACTGGAAGCTGAAAAACACTGATGAGAGGATGAAATATAACCTTACCATGTTTAAAATCCAATTGATAAAACTAACACTACAAAAATTAAAGTGATACAAAACAAATATTTTTAACATTATATTATTGTCTGGTTAATTATTTAGACAACTGTCCAAAATTGAACTAGTTTGAATCGAATTGGATACTTTAGGGATGAAATTGACAAAATTAAAACTTAAAGTACCAAAGTGAGACAAAATGAATTTGTATTTTATCCTTAAAGACTATGGAATAACAACAAAAAGAGCATGATCAAAGTGAACTGGTGAATGAGTTCATTAAAACAAAACAGAGAAAAAATTAAAGAAAAACGAGGGTTCCTCCAACTTATCCATGAAACAAGATCAATTCACTAGTAATGGACAGAGTTGATACAGTTCTTCTGGCTATGCAAAAAGACATTTGAACTCATCATATGGATATTATTATGAAGCTTAGGCATATTTAGTGAAGAATATTCGAACTTCAATCAATTAATTATGGGGAAAAAAAGGATCATCCTACATATCCAGGAAACCAATATCAATTCACTATTAACGGACAGAGCTGAATTCAGAACCAACATGGTTAGACAATTGTGGCTATGACAAATTCAAAGCTAGGATGCTAGAAACAAGATATTTGAACTCATAGTATAGATAGTAAGTCAAAGCTTTAGAGATATTGATTTTGTGAACTAGAATCAATAGAAAAAAAAAGCATCAAGCTTAGATGACAATGACCCAACTCCAATTCTCATATATGTATCCAATCCATTTTAATCCAAACAAGTTGTCAACTTGAAATTGATCATTTCCAAAAAAATTCAAAGTACCCAAAAAAGGTAAACAAAGAAAGGATATCTAGAGCTAACCTGTATATGTAAATGTCTTTTCCTTGCCCAAGATTTTTCTTGCAAGTGTAACAGAAGCTGAGAAAACTCTCAGATGGATACCTCATTGATCCATTCCCATAAAAACCATTTTCCTTTCTCCCACCAGAGATCCCAACAACACCACAGCAACTTTCAACAACACAATTGTCAAATATATGAGTCGTCTTCGGATTCGGACCGTGCGAAATCACACAAGTATAGTCCTCCGAAAGCTCCATTTCACTAGCAGAGAGACATCCAGCAAAAACCCGAGTCGAATTCTGGTTTTCTCTGCCCGAATTCTCAGACCCAAAAGGTGATTTCTTAGATAATCCAGGGGAAAAAGAACCCAATTGAGAATTCCTCGTCTTGGTGCCGAAATCAGCCGGTGATCTCGGCGATTCAGCAGGGGATAGAACAGAGGGTAACAGGGGAGGGATTTGAATCTTCAATTGTGATCCAAACAAGACTTTTCGGGTTTCGAGTTTGGATTGATTTGGGTCTGATTTTTCATCGCTGAGAGCATCAACAATGCCCAGACCAACCCCTCTTGAATCCCAGTGAGTTCGAATTTCAGGTTTGGGGGTTTTTGTGGTGTGTGAATCGGAACGAAATGGGTTTCTCAAAGCAGAGAAGGGTTTGCTATCAAGGATTGAAGTTGGGCTGCTGAGTACAGATTCAGTGTCGGTGAACATTCTTGGAGAGCTGAAAATCGATGAAATTGGTTTTCTGTAATTCTCCTTCGGTGATTGTGAAAAACCATGATCCGCCATTAGAGCTTGCTTACTTGTTGCTCTTGATCTCTTCCTCAACATCAGTCTTCTCTGTTCATACCCAAAACAAATCATCAAAACCAAAACCCATCAAATATTCACACACACACATAGATAGATAGATAGATAGATATATACATATATATATATATAGAGAGAGAGAGAGAGAGAGAGAGACTACGGACCAGAAAAGAAATGGGATTTTAGCTAGAAACCGCCATGAATTTACAAGACCCACCTTGGAGTTCTATCGAAGAATAAAACCCAGAAATCCAAAAAATCAGAATAGGCAACCATGAATTCGATCTCTATCTTCTTCTATAATCTAAAAAACTGTGACCTCCATGGCTAAAATCCGAGAAAATAACAAGAAACAAAGAGTCTCGACTTTTTCCCCGGTTTTCTCGCACTTTCTTTCTCTAGTTTATCAGCAAGAAACCCATTCTCATTCCCAATCTCTCACAACCGACATGGGAGCAAAGCTATCACCGAGTCATGATCAGTACTAGACACACACACACACAAATAAACACAAACAAACAAAAATCGAAAAAAGGGTTGTATTTTAATCTGCTTTTTCGGTTTGCTTTATACGGTTTTGTTTGTATCCTTCTAATAATAATAATAATATTTCAGTAAAATTAGTTTTTTTCTCTTCTTTTCTTTTCTTTTATCACCGTAGTTAAAGATTTCAAGAGCTTTCGAGGCACACAACACCCATAAATTCAAAAGTACCTGAAAAACAAAACAAAACAAAAAGATGGGTTCACTGTATCACACACTCTCTTTCTCTCTCCTCCCTTTTTTATCTCTTTGTGAGAAGTAGTGGGTATTCTTTTCTTGACTCCACTAGTCCTAAAAAATAGCAATGGTTGCAGAGGAAAACAGAGATGGAATCAGTGGAGAGAGAAAGTTGAAGAGAGAGAGAGGGAATGTTGGTTGTTCGGGGTGATTTTAAAGATCTGTCTGCGCGCGCGCGTGAGAGTGTGAGAGAGAGAGCATGGGAATCAGTTAGAGGTGAGCATGGTCCGGATTAAATCGGATTGGAATAAAATCAGGACCAATTCGTTATTTACGGTTCTTAAAAAATCGGAACCAATCCAATTCGTTTAAATATTGGAACCAATCCGAATCAATCCATTTAAATACGGATTGGATCGATTTAAGACTACGGATTCACATAATTAAATAACAAAAATATATATATATAACACTTTAATTTTATAAAAATATAAACATAGCGCTATATTACTTCTATAATAGCAATAAGTTTTTCTATAATAGTGACATAATGTTCTAGAATTTAAATAATCATAAAAAAACTGGTTTCACCATAAGTATTTAGACCATTACAAATTAAAATTAAAAACTAACAAACAAAAGTAATAAAAGAAGATATCATAGGAGGTTTAAGTTTGAGTTTAGATTTTATATAAAATAAGAGAAGATACTATGGGGGAGGATGTATAATAAAAATATAGATTATTTGTATACGGTTCGGATCGGTTCCAATCCGGAACCGAGGGGTTCAATCTGGAACCAATCCGTGGACTACGGATTTTTAATTCTTCAATCCGGAATCGAACCACGGATTCAAAAAATCAATCCAAACCTATCGGATTAGACTAGACTGGATCGGATTACGAATTTTACGGATTTCTTACTCAGCCCTAGAATCAGTAGTGGTTTCGATAAACAGCATAGTACTCTGTAACTCGGAAAATTTTGGTGGCGTTTTGATTTGAAAATTTTAAAATATTATTTAAGTGTCAAAAATTTATTTGGTAAAAGAATTTTAAATTAAATAAGAAATTTTTGATATAATATATGATATTTGATATAAAAATTTATAATTCATAATTAAATATATAACTTAAAATTCTATTAAAATTTTTAAAAAATTTAAAAAAATTTAAAAAATATTTTTTGTTGAATATATAAAAATTAACGTGTGTGGAAGAAAAAAAAAATTGCATTGTTCCGGTCAACTGATGGGACGTCCGATTAGCTCAAATTATCTTACCTTCGACCGAGTTTTCAAATTAAGTGTAGAATTAATTTTTGAAAATCGCAAACAAACGTCATATATGCAAAATAAAAGGTAAAACTAAAGTTCCAAAACCCTTCAAAATACAACCTTTATTTCTACACCATTAATTATCTTAATACATATTTTTTTTATTACACATATTTATTAATTAAATTATTAATTAATTTTCTCAATTCATATATTGAAAATTACAATTATATCATTCACTTATAATTATGGGTGAATTACACTAACGATCCCTATAGTTTAGAACTTGTGTTATTTTAGTCAATGACTTTTCAATTATGACACATTTGACTCTGAATTTTAAATTTTGTTCCAAATAAGGACAATTGAAGATACTATTGGGATTTTCAAGGGCAAAATCGTCAATTTGATAAAATATAAATTAGTTTGACAAAATTAAATGTTAAAAAAATATTTTTGAATTTTTAAAAATTATTTCTACCTACTAAAGGTAAACTTATATAAAGTTGATAAATCTTTTAGACATTTATTTCTTTTTTTACCAAATTAATTTTTATTATGTATTTAGATGATCATGTAAAATTAATTTTTAAAAATTAATAATGTAATTTTTATTAATTTTTATCAATTTTATATAATTTTATTTTTGGTGAGTAGAAATAATTTTCAAAAACTTTAAAATATTTTTTGACATTTATTTTTGTCAAATTAGTTTATATTTTATCAAATTGATGAATTTGCCCTTAAAATTAAGCAACGGTAGGTTAATTGTCTTTATTTGGAATAAGATTCAAAATTCGAGGTCAAATGTGTCACAATTGAAAAGTCAGGGATTAAAGTGACATAAGCCTCAAACTATAGGGACTGTTAGTGTAATTTGCCCTATAATTATTATACACATACCATTCAACTCTCATTTTCACACACTTGTTAAGTGACCCGACTTCCAGATTTGTAGACCCATTGTAGACTTACGTGAAGACAATTCAAGGCCACAGTGTGAAGTGAAGACAAAGTCTTCCATTGAATACCTCCATTAAAGACCCTATTAAACCTCTATTAGAAATACCATTAAAAACACTCCAAAATATTATTGAAAATGAGGCATCTTTCTATTTTGTTATTATATTTACCATAAAAAGTGATTGATTTGATATGTGTGAGAGAGAGATTTGTTTGGAAAACTTGTTTGGTTTACAAGTTTTGAGAAATTTTTTTGGGAAAATTTGTTTGGTTTGATTATTTTTGAAAACTTATTTGTAGAGAAAATTTCCCAAAATTTTTTCAGAAAATCAAACCAAACGAGCCCAAAGTCTTCCATTGAATACCTCCATTAAAGACCCAATTAAACCTCTATTAGAAATACCATTAAAAACACTCCAAAATATTATTGAAAATGAGGCATCTTTCTATTTTGTTATTATATTTACCATTTTCATATCTTTGTGTACTCCATTGCCATAAAACCCTCATTTTTTTGATTTTTTTTTTTTCAATTTGTGAATTTCGGCACTTATTTTTTGAAATTATACATTTACTTCAAAACTTAACTTCCGAATAAAAGTAATTAGTTCAACAAATTTGTTTCGAAAAGAATAAAAAAAAAAAATTTCAGCAATTGATATCTAAATATAATGAAATAATTCGGTACTGGTTGTCAAACTAAAAATCGCGAAAGGAAAAAAAAAGTTTTGCACGAAAAAACTAATCACTAATAGAATATAAATTTAGAGTATTACTTTGCAAGCAATAGAAGAGTATATAGTGTATAGCAAGTAAAGTGACAACAAAAAATTAGGGTTTAGTTTTTTTTTTTTTTTTACTCAAAATGTGTACATTGAGATTTTTTTATTTTTAAAATATGTGTACAAAGAATACTTTCATATCATATTAAGGGTACTAGTGGATGTCCATTATGATCATTTTAGCTTAGGATATAATTGCCATTAAAATAATACTTCCTTAAGTGTGTACACTGATATAATTTTGGCTTTTTTGGCTTTTTTTGTGAGAGAGGATTGTAATGATTATGGGTTGGATTTGATGTTTTGTTTTTTGTGGCTAAAATAGCCTATTTTGTTTTTTGTGGCTATTTTAGCCCCAAACCAAGTTCCCAAACAAAGGCGGGTACTAGTGGATGTCCATTATGATCATTTTAGCTTAGGATATAATTGCCATTAAAATAATACTTCCTTAAGTGTGTACACTGATATAATTAGGTATGTGAAAATAGAATTTCCCGTGGAATTCTCTCACCTACCTTGAAATGGAAGTTTATTGAGACAATTTCATCCATTAATTCTTTCATCAAATTTAAATTTGATAAAAATAATAATATTTTTTATGTTTCAATAGTTTCATGACATAAGTATCAAATCAAAAATATTAAAAAAAAATTATCAAATTGAGAACGTCTGGCAACTTTTATCACCATCTCTTGGATGACCACATCTTTGCAAAAATTTGTAAAAAAAATACACTAGTCGACCGGTCTTTTGATACAAGCTCAAAATCTTCGATTCGAGCACTTAATTCAAATAGATTTTTTACTTCAATTTTTATTACGGGTGGGCAACGGTTTATTCGATCCGCAAAAACCGCCCAACCCGCCCAATTCGTATACAAATGGGTGGTTTCGCAAATACAGTGTAGGCGGATGCGGTTTGAAATATAGCATCTTTGCGGGTTGCGGGTTTAACCCGCACCCGCAAGAAACCGTCCGCACTTTATTTATTTATTTATTTTTATCTTAACTAAACCCGCAACCCGCAAGAAACCATCCGCATTTTATTTATTTATTTATTTTTATCTTAACTATTGATTTCATTTCTATATCTCATCTAGATATTTTTGTCCAAAACAAAATACCCTTTATTTTTTGAACTTACTCTAGCATTACATTTGCTAATAGTATTATATCAACTGAAACTAAATAAATACTGATCATATTATTATTATTACATAACTGAACTTGTCCCGGATGAAGTGTGATTTGGAATTTTAAATTCCTTAATGAATATGGAGTTATGATTTAGGATTTTGAAATATATGCTTGTATTAGTTTATGATTTGATTTAAGATTTTGAATGATTTGTTTGTGTTACGAATTGATTTTGTTGTATTTTTAATTTTATAAGTTTTAATTCATTAATTATTAGTGTTGGAACATTTTAGAAAATGGAAAGAAAATGACCCAAAATAAATATTTACAAAATGGGGAAAAAAATAAGGCTCAAAAATAAATTTTTGAAGAAAAAAGTCCAATCCGCAAACCGCCCGTAACCGCCCGCGCATCCGCGAACCCTATCTGCACAAACCGCAAACCGCACTGCGGGCGGTTGCAGGTTGTATTTTCCCCAAACTGCATAGATGCGGACGGGTCCAAACCGATCCGCAAACCGTCCAAATCCGAATGGCGAACACCCCTAATTTTTATTCAAATTTAACATAAAAAAATATACTGTTAGAGATGCTCTCATTAGGAGTGTAAAAATGGCCCATGGGCGGCCCGAAGCCCGCCTGCGGCTAGAGGTGAGCCATGCTCGTTCAGGCTCGTTTGGGCTCGGGCCTGAGCCCTTGGGCTTGGGCCTAGGCCATCATTTTGAAGCCCAGCCCAGCCCCGCCCCGCTCGTGGCCCCCGGCCCGCCTTACCCGCTTGTGGCCCAGCCCATCAGCCCACTCAAGGTCCGGCCTAAAGCTCACCTGGCCCGCGCTGAGGCCCAGTGTATTTTTTAAGTGGAAAATAATAAAATTTTGGTAGATTAAACTTAAAAAAAAAAGAAAAAAAGTCAGGCCCGCCCAAGCCTCGACGCCAAGCTTAGGCCCACCGAGCCGGCCCGTGGCCTGGCCCGCCCAAAGCCCGAATACCCCTAGGCTTGGGCCTAATTTTG